CTGAGTAGTATTGCTGGCTCTTGAGGTCGATTGACTCCCAATTTTTTTGAGAAATGGCCATACTGATTTTTAAAGCAGCTGTACAAATTTGCACTCCCACCAGCAATGGAGGAATGTTCCTCTTACTCTCCATCTTCTTCAACATAAGCTTTCTTTAGTGTTTTTGATCTTAACCATTCTGACAGGTGTAAGATGGTATCTCAGAGTTGCTTTGTTTTGCATTTCCCTGATGGCTAAAGATGTTGAGCAATTCCTTAAGTACTGTTTGGCCAGTTGAGATTCTTCTTTTGAGAATTCTTTATTTAGATCTGTATTCTGATGTCGGATTTCCCTCTGTAAGATGTGAATACCATTGGTTAATAAAGAAACTGTCCTGGCCTGTGATAGGGCAAAAGAGAAGAGCTAGGTGGGGAAAATTAAATTGAATGCTGGTAGGAAGAAGGCAGAGTTTACGGAGAAGGCTTGGAGCTGTTGCCAGAGACAGATATGCTAAAATTTTGACAGTAAGCCACAGCCATGTGTCGATAAACAGATTAATAGAAATAGGTTAAATTTAGATGTTAGAGTTAGCCAATAAGAAGCTAGAGCTAATGGGCCAAGCAGTGACTTAAATAATAGAGTTTCCATGCGATTATTTCGAGTCTGGGCAGCTGGGAATGAACAAGTGGCCTCCTACAACAGTACTCCATTTTTAATTGGATTTTTTGATATTTTGATGTCTCGTGTCATGAGTTATTTTTATATTTTGGAGATCAGTTCTCTGTCAGTTGTGGGGTTAATGAAAAAAATTTTCCTATTCTATGGGCTGCCATTTTGTCTTGTTAGCTGTGTGTCTTTTGCCTTACAGAAATGTGTCAGTTTCAGGAGATCCCATTTATTGTTGATCTCAGTGCCTGTGCTACTGGTATTATATTTAGGAAGTGGTCTTCTCTGCCAATGCATTCAAGACTTCTTCCCACTTTCTGTTCTATGAGCTTTAGTATGGCTGGATTTATGTTGAGGTCTTTTGACTCATTTGGACTTGAGTTTGGTGCGTGGGGATAGATATGGATCTGTTTGCATTCTTCTACATGTTGACCTCCAGTTATGCCAGCACCATTTGTTGAAGATGCTGTCTTCTTTCCATTTTATAACTTTAGCTTCTTTATAAAAAAAATCAGGTGTTTATAGGTGTGTGGCCTAATATCAGGGTCTTTGATTCAATTCCTTTGGTCCAACTGTCTGTTTTTGTGCCAATACCAAGCGTTTTCTTTACTGTCGCTATGTAGTAGAGCTTAAAGTCAGGGCTGGTAATGCTTTTGGAAGTTTCTTTATTGTACAAGATTGTTTTGGCTATCTTGAGTTTTTTGTTTTTTTCATATGAAGTTGAGTGTTGTTCTTTCAAAGTCTGTTAAGAATTGTGCTGGAATTTTGATGGGATTGCATTGAATATACAGGTTGCTTTTGGTAAGATTGCCATTTTTACAGTGTTCATACTACCTATTCAGGAGAATGGGAGATCTTTCCATTTTCTGGTGTCTTCAATTTCTTTCTTCAAAGATTTAAAGTTCTTGTCATACAGGTCTTTCACTTATTTGGTTAGAGTTAACTCAAGATATGTTATGTTGTTTGTGGCTATTGTGAAGGCTGATGTTTCTCTGATTTCTGCCCTTTTATCATCTGTATATGAGAGGGCTACTGATTCTTTTGAGTTAAACTTTTATCCTGCTACATTATTGAAGGTGTTTATCAGCTGTAGGAATTCCCTAGAAGAATCTTTTGGGGGCATATATATTATCATATCATCTGCAAATAGTGAAAGTTTGACCTCTTCTATTCTGATTTGTATCCCCTTGATCTCCTTTTGTTGTCTTATTGCTCTAGCTAGAACTACAAGTACTATATTGAATAGATATGGAGGGAATGGGCAGCCTTGTCTTGTTCCTGATTTTAGTGGGATCGCTTTGAGTTTCTTTCCATTTAGTTTGATCTTGACTGTTCACTTGCTGTTTATTTCCTTTTTTATGTTTAGGTATGTTCCTTATATCCCTCCAAGACTTTTAGCATGAAAGCGTATTAGATTTTGCCGAAGGCTTTTTCAGCATCTAATGAGATGATCATGTGTTTTTTTTTCTTTTGGTTTATTTATACGGTGGATTACATTGATAAATTTTCATATGTTGAACTATTCCTTCATCTCTCAGATGAAGCCTACTTGATCTTCCATGGTGGAAGATTTCTCTGATGTGTTCTTGGATTCTGCTTGCCAGTATTTTATTGATTATTTTTTCATCAGTGTTCATGAAGGAGACTGGCCTGCAATTTTCTTTCTTAGTTGCCTTTGTGTGGTTTGGGTATCAGTGTAACTGTAGCCTTGTAAAAAAGAGTTTGGCAATGTCCCTTCTGTTTCTATTGTGTGGAACAATTTGAGGAGTATTGGTATTAGCTCTTTGAAATTCTGGTAGAATTCTGTACTGAAACCATCTGGCCCTGGGCTTTTTTTGGTTGGGAGACTTTTGTTGACGGCTTCTCTTTTCTTAGGGGTTATAGGCCTACTTAAATAGTTAATCTGATCTTGATTTACTTTTGGTATGTGATACCAACCCAGAAATGAGACTGAATGGGGTATCCTTTTTCTACAATTCCTCAGACTGTATGTGCTTAGCTCCTGTCTCCTCCTGCCTTATATATCTCTCTTAACCCAGCCATATCCTTTCCTGTCTTCACCTCTGTAGTTCTGGAATTAAAGACATGTGCCTCCTAGGTATTGAGATTAAAGGTGCGTGCCACCACTGCCTGACTTCTATGGCTCACTAGTGGCTAGCTCCATACTCTGATCTTCAGGCAAGCTTTATTTGTTAGATTACAAAAAATATTGTCATATTTCCTCCTTTTGTCTAAGATAAAAGTTATGACAAATATAAGCAAAACTATATACAATAAAAACAATAACTATATACAATATATACAGGCAATAAATATATCAACAATATCTAGTCCATTTACATTTGAAAAACGCAGAGAAAATAGGTTATTATCTATTCAAAGTCTTTTACCTAATTCACTTTCTGTCCTAACTTACAGTACCACCCAAAACTAACTTTTGATGTCTCTCAACGTTATACACTTTACTTCTCTTTATTGAGTTTCTTTTCTGAGTCTGATAAACATGGAAAACTATTCCTCTAACTATCTAGTCTTCAACTCCCTCAAAGACCCGAGAAGGAAATAATATTAACTGTGTCAGTAGGAAGTGCAAGCAAGTGACTTCCAAAAATTGTGATAAATGACAGAAGCAGCTGGCTGCCTGGACAGTCACCCAAGGTTCCTTTTTAATGTTGGGGCAGCCATCTTCGGCCTATAGGCCTAGAATGAATATGTGATAGACTTTTCTATGAAGCAGAATTTTTGAATGACTGTCCTGCCTTTTCTTGACAAGATTTGGCTGTCACTCTCTTTTTTTGTCTTGCTTTTCCAATTTGGACAGCATAGTGTCAGCAGTTGAGGCAAGAACAATTTTTATTGCCTAGTGGCTTACTTTTGCCACACAGAAAGTAAACTCCATGTGTCATTTCTTCAATGCCCATCATCTTCTATGATGTAGGTTGGTTCTTCAGGAGCAGGCATGTCTCATTGTCATAAGAGAAATGAACCTATGTTATTGAACATCTTAAATGCTATATTCTGAAATCTCTCAATTGTTTGAAGATGATATGTCTACCTATATATATGTTTGACCTTGAAGACAGACCTAATGACTGCAAATTCAGTTGTACTAGGTTACTAATTACTAACCTGCATTTCCTTATTATCCTTAGTTAGTAATAATAAATTGCAAGGACTGGAAATTTGCATTACATTGTTAAATGAGCTGTCTAGATAAAATACCTTGAACAAGATTAGAAATGCATGCACAGTATGTTCTAATAAAAAGTATCTTAGATTTGTATCAATATACAAAAATCCATATCAATGTAAAATATTTAAAACTAGTCATTGCTTCTTTAGTATAAAAGTAGATTCAGTAATCTACCTTTTTATCTATATCTATATCTCCCTTTTTTCAGAATAGATTCAGTACTACCATATCTATATCACCCTTTTTTCTTTTCAAAAGAAGAGCCTGATTATAAACTCCTTTATTCAACTTTTTTCCTGACCATTACCAACATCAGCTTGTAACCAACTACCCTAAACAATGAGAAATATCCACAACCCATTCAACGACCAAAAACCACCCATTCCATCTCTTGGGAATGTAGGTGTCATGTTCTTATATTTACTTCCTTCTGTCTGGGGGTGATGGCATCTCTCGGGGATCCTGAAAAGAAAAATTTGGGTTAATTGTCCAATCTTGGGAGAGGTAGCTGTTTCATTTGTTGTCCAGCCTCTGGGTAATGGGGACGTGCAGAGCTCGTCTTTGGTCCTGGCTAGAGTAGTCTTTGAGACTTACTCATCTCAGCTAACAAACACAAACACGTGTGCATAGTTTTCAATCTCTTCTTTCTGTTTTCATTAGAAGATTAGCTTGGGGTATTTCATTTTATAGCATGGTCTTTTGACACTGAGATAATTAAAAATTATATATAGTTAATTTTATTGATATTCATTTTTATTCTTTGGACAGATTTTTGTAAATTACTAGTCTTTAAAGCATTTATTAACTTTTTTAAAAAAAATATTTATTTATTTATTATGTATACAATATTCTGTTTGCGTGTATGTCTCCAGGCCAGAAGAGGGCACCAGACTTCATTACAGATGGTTGTGAGCCACCATGTGGTTGCTGGGAATTGAACTCAGGACCTTTGGAAGAGCAGGTGATGCTCTTAACCACTGAGCCATCTCTCTAGCCCCCATTTATTAACTTTTTAATAGTTAAGAAGTTTTCATTAAAACACTACCTTGGATTTATCTAAATGTATAGTGAAAGCTAATTGAGGTTTGAATTTTTCCTGAGTAATTTATTTGTGCCCCTAAGGAAGACTAATATCTGCTAAGGTGGTTGATTTCTTTTGTAGGCATTATCCTGCACTGAAGACTCTGGAGCATCTGGAACACACCTATCTGCCTCAAGTGAGCCACTATCGATTCTGTAAGGTGATGGTGGACAACATCCCCAAGCTTCGGGAAGAGATAAAGGATGTTTCTATGTCTGATCTCAAAGACTTTCTGGAGAGCATCCGCAAGCATTCAGACAAAATTGGAGAGACCGCTATGAAACAAGTAGGTACTTGGTTAGTGACAGATTTGCCCTTGGCTTTCCAAGTATTTGGTTATACACATAATTTCTCCTTGCCAAGTGTCTTAATTCTTATTTTAGGAAGGTCCTTTATAAATGGAAATGTTATTATCTCAACAGAGTGATGGGTGAGATGTGTTGTTCACTCTGTGGCTGTTGAGCAGTGACTGATTGTGATGGTCTGTGTCAGTCTGGAGAGAATTCAGTTTACAAAACAAACATTTCCCTTGACTTTGTATAGTATTTAAAGTCCAGAATTCGTAAAGCTTTCCTTTCAGTCAACAACATAAATTGCATTCATTACATGTGCCTTTGGTTGATTATTTACTATTAGGAAGGTGTCATGCCATGCAAAAATTTTTTTGACATTGATGGTGTTAGTGACAGAATGGTCTGTTGGGGTTTGTGGATTATGATTGCAGAAAGGGAAATACAGCTCAAAAATTTAGCAAGTGTGTTAGGAATATTTATTTTATTCAAATATCTTCATCTCTAAGATATAATAGGCCATGAGGAATACTTTTTGTCATTGTGAATGAAGAAACAATAACGATTTGCAGTAATACTTCCTCTTGAAATTTAAGTTACATTGATGTTATACGGATGCTTAACATACTCGATGATATAGCCTGCAATAATAAATAGATTTTAACTATTTATGGAAAGTGTTTTATGCTTTTGTAAACAAGTATTCTCTAGTAGATTTGTATAATATTGGGGGGAACAAGGGCACAGTAAATAACATTTGGAAGCATTATTTGAGGGTTCAATTAGCATTAATAACTTTAATTCAAATATCTCTCTGATACTGCAGAAGAGATTTGCCAGTTATATTTTCATAAAGCATGTCTTTTTTTTAAATCTCCTTTTAAATTTTATTGGTGTTATACTTTAAAAAGTTCAAAGTATAGGCACCAGTTCTTGTCTCAGCCTCTGCTGTAACTGTAGGTTTGTGCCACTAATCCTTAAGTGTTGGACTTAAAGGCACATGCTGCCACACCCAGCTGGAAGCTGGCTTCTTAAAGGCTCCTTTTCTAGGCCTCTGCTAGATAAATTCACATTCCTTTGCTGAAAGAGGGATCTCTTATAATTATTATCACTTCATTTAATTTTAGGTTAGTTGTTTTCATTACTGAATTATCTGAAGAATGAATGCTGAGGGAGGAAAGAGACTTTATTTAAATGCTAACAACTTGTCAAGGTCAGACCTCGTAGTTGAAATCAGATAAAGTTGCAGCAATGGATAGGTTAACTAGCTTGGATTAAAGGTGTGTGCCCTCATGATCAGCTCTGAATGTATTTTTTAATACTTTTTTTCCTGTTAGAATATAGAATATGAATAATTGGTTTATTCAAGGCATCTATTTGTCTATTCCTTTATTTTCTAATTCATTTAAGAACTCTTCCTCTTTTTTCATGATTTTCTTTCTAGTTTCATTGCTTGTGCATACACATGCATGCTTGTGTGCAGAGGCGCATATTGAATTTAAAATTTAAATTGTTGCTGGGCGGTGGTGGTGCACGCCTTTAATCCCAGCACTTGGGAGGCAGAGGCAGGCGGATCAATGTGAGTTCGAGACCAGCCTGGTTTACCAGAGCTAGTACCAGGACAGGCTCCAAAACCACAGAGAAACCCTGTCTCAAAAAAAAAAAAATTAAATTGTACATTGAAAACATATTTGTCTTTTTGGATCTGATTTATTTCATGTAATGGCAAGATTTTACTTCATTCTGGGCAGTATATTTACCACAGTTTTCTTATTCCATTTGTTTGTTGGTGTTAGGCTGGTTCCATTTCTTGGCGGTTGTGAATAGTACAGTAGTAACTGATGTGCAGATGTCTCTGTAAAATGCTGATACAGAGGACTTTGGTTGTTCCCTAAAATTGTATGATTGGGTCATATGGTAGTTTATTTTTAGTGCTTGACTAATTTACATTCTTGACGGCTTTTAAAATTTATTGACTATATTTTTTCTCTGAGAACCAGATCTGTTTATTCAGTTTATGTGCTTTTTATTCTTCTATGGTACCTAGAAATTAAAGAGGATATGATAGAAATTACCACGGGTTTTTTTACATTGCACATGCTTGTATTTGTATGAATCAATAGATGTTGGAAAAGTAGGAGAAGTGATTTATTTTTTATTTATTGTGTTTACTGATTTGTAATTTTTTAATCTCATAATTGTTGCTTAGGAACCCAGAGTCTTCCTATCATGTGTCTCTGCCATTACTAGTATATGTTGGAAGATTCCAATAGAAGGACCAAGACCAAGGATAGTTTTTAAGTAGCAAGGAGGAGTAGCATATATTATTACTTTTAGCTACATCCCATGTGTTTCATCAAAATGAAACACAGTGACATGGAGACTGAAAATTAATCCTTTCTCTATGCCTATGAAGACTTTGGTCAGTGTAACTGGTCTTTGGCACCTGATGGTCAGTAGCTGTTTGTCTTCAATCTTTCTCCCATGCCTAGATCACGTTCACCCCATCCCTAAAGGAGAAAACTTTGTGTTTTATCCTGTTCATTTTTCTTGATGCTCTTCTTGCCTGTTCCCGGGCTAAAGAAATGTATGTGTATTTTATAGTCACATGAAGTGATTTTCTTTCTTTTTTTTTTAAAAATATTTATTTATTTACTTATTATGTATACAATATTCTGTTTGTGTGTATGCCTGCAGGCCAGAAGAGGGCACCAGACCTCATTACAGATGGTTGTGAGCCACCATGTGGTTGCTGGGAATTGAACTCAGGACCTTTGGAAGAGCAGGCAATGCTCTTAACCACTGAGCCATCTCTCCAGCCCCTGAAGTGATTTTCTTAAAAGTGCCTAAAGAATGTCTTTATTAATTGTCTACTATTTTCATTTTGAAACTGATTTCTTGTTATAAAATTAGTCTGTGTAGGGAGCATTTCTGTATTTCTTATTTTGATTAGTTTGCCTTAGGCTTTGTGGAGCTGAATGACATTTATGAGATTAACATTCTTTGTTAGACTTATTTTCCTTGTGAGGCCTTTAACTGAGAGAAGGTTTTACTTTTAAAATTCTGTCATGCCAGGCAGTGGTGGCGCAAGCCTTTAATCCCAGCACTTGGGAGGCAGAGGCAGGCTGATCTCTGTGAGTTCAAGGCCAGCCTGGTCTAGAAGAGCTAGTTCCAGGACAGGAACCAAAAAAGCTATGAAGAAACCCTGTCTCAAAAATAAAAATAAATAAATAAAATTCTGTCTTGCCTTTGCTAAATCATGTGGTTATATAACTGATGTTAAGAAAAGACGCTGTCCTTTGCATATACATTATGGCTTCTATTTTAGTGTTTTTATGGGATTCCTGAGTGTGTGAATGAGTGGGTCTCTGATTCTGATGCTTTCTCTGGGACTTTTTTCCTTTTGTTTGTTTTGTCCAATTCCAGTGTGTTGGTTTTTGTCTTATTTCATTTCATTGTTAAAAAAGAAAACATACCTTTATGAAAGTAATCTAAACGGAGCCACCAAATAATGGGGGAGACAATGCCTGTACTGGACATTTTATGCCACTACCTGAAACCTCCAGTTCCAGAATGGGTTATATCTAGTTGAGTCATTGGCCATAGGGTCTCCATGGAAACCCCCAGCCATCTTAGGCTATTGCCAAGACTATTGGTTGCTCTCTGTGAATTGGTGTATTAAGACCTTATTACTGAAGACAACACTTACATATCTCAATGAACATGGAGAAGTCAAGCTGGTGCTTAACTAGAGGCTTTATTTATACCGACTAGTGTTCATGGTACTGGAAGGTGTATTGCATGTTCCAAGAAGAGAGAGATAATCACCAACCCCAACTACAAGCTCTACAACTTACAACGATGACCTTTCTGCAAGATATCCTGGTGTAATAGTGGCACAAATGTGGGAGTAACAACCACTCTCTGATTTGATGTAAGGCCCTCTCCCTGAGATGGAACAAAGACTTGATACTGCACAGGTAGCCAAGAACCTAAGACTAGATAACCCCAGGGATCTGGAGGAAGACCAAACTACTATTATTCTGCTAAGGGAACATAACAACAAAATGGTTTCTACTGACTTTCTGCTTTGCTCAGCTATCATCAGAGAAGCTCCTTTTTGAAATATAAAGAAAATAAAGATACTCACAGGTGGATAGTGTATACAGAGTAAGAGACTTTAGAACACAGTCTTAAATGGGATGTTTTCATCAAACCCTTCTTCAGGGATCTATGCAAAAGGGGAGGCAGAAAGATTGTAAGAACCAGACATGATGGATAACTCAAAGGAAGCAGCGTCTTCTAGACCTGTGAAGGTCTGTGAATACTGCTACATTTCTTGTGAGTTCATATGTGTGTTAGTCCTGTTGTGTCTGCAATTGATACTTAGAAAAGAAAAATTACTTTCTCTAATGGAGTCTTATTAGGTATATTAACTACACTTTATGGTAGGCCCTATATTTAGGAGTTGTTGGCCAACATGAAACAAACTCAGTGGTATTTTTTTTTTACTTTTATTGATTATTTGTGAATTTCACATCATGCCTTCTGATCCCACTTATCTCCTTGTCTCATTGCATCTGCCATCTGCTCTTGAACATCTCCCAAAACAAAGCCAAATTTAAAAGAAAAACCAAAACTATACAAAACAAAGAACCAAGACAAGAATAAAATTAAAAACAACAAAAAAGAAGAATCTTGTCATGGAAGCTGTAGTATTGCCCGGTGAGTCACACAATTTACCCTTTAGTCCATATATCTTTACGTGTAAGTGTTCATTGTTATGAGTCATTGGTCTGGTCTGAGGCCTCTGGTTTCTGCTACACCACCAGTAATAGGCTGAAACTGGGGCTCCTCTTAGATATCCTTAGATATCCTTCTGTATCATGGAGATCCTGATGTTTTAGTTTTATAGGTTTGTTCCTTTCACATGCTCTAACAGTTGATAGATTCAGTGAAAGCTGGGGGGCGCCAACTCATAGCACTGATTCTGGGC